ATCTAACCGATACTAGTGGTGTTGTCCCACTATCTAACCACTACTTGTAGTGTTGTCTCACTATCTAACCAATACTTGTGGTGTTGTCCCACTGTCTAACCAATACTAGTGGTGTTGTCCCACTATCTAACCAATACTTGTAGTGTTGTCCCACTATCTAACCAATACTTGTGGTGTTGTTCCACTATCTAACCGATACTAGTGGTGTTGTCCCACTATCTAACCAATACTTGTGGTGTTGTCCCACTATCTAACCAATACTTGTTGTGTTGTCCCACTATCTAACCNTCCCACTATCTAACCTATACTAGTGGTGTTGTCCCACTATCTAACCAATACTAGTGGTGTTGTCCCAATATATTACCACTACTAGTGGTGTTGTCCCAATATCTTACCACTACTAGTGGTGTTGTTCCACTATCTAATCAATACTTGTGGTGTTGTCCCACTATCTAATCAATACTAATTTATCATGTCCCCTTGGTTCATTATAAACATGGTTTACTGATTATAGCACTAATTTAGCATGTCCCCTGGGTTCATTATAAACATGGTTTACTGTCATTAACTGTGGTTAATATTTCAATGTATTAAATAATGCTTACCATCGAGTTTTTTCGTATTTTTTCCACAACAGACAAGGATCACCAGGATGATCACAATGACCAGCGTAAGGACAGGTAAGACAAAACCAGCGACAGCTAAGGCAAAGCCGACAGTCACTGTAATGAAACAACGGATGATTAAAAAAGATAACTTTGTACATTTACAAATCAATAATGATTTCTATATTTAACAAACAATACACTCATGTCAGGAAGCATAGGTCACAGTGAGGTCAGAGTGACATACTTCCTGCACTACGCTATCCCAAGATTACCTTGTACACCAAATATGGTTACTCCAGGTGAAATAGTATAGAAAATATGCCCCTGACAATTTTTTTCAAAAGTAAATGTCCAAGGTCAAGTCATAGGCTACAGTGACCTAATTCTTGCACTTTCGCCATCAGAAAATGTCCTTGTACAACAAATCAGATATGTCCCGGACAAACTTCTCGGATGACAGGACGAGATGGCAGAAGGAAGAAGGGCAGAATAATAGACAGAGATCAAACATATAGTCCCCCCCCGGGAACTGATGGGGGACTAATAAGTGAGTATTTGTCCTTTTTTATCTGAAACTATTAAGAATATGGCTGCTTGAATAATGCAAGGAGTGTATTATCGAAGTTCTATTTTTAGCGACAGTGACCTTGACTTTGGCTCGATCACACCAGCTTTCAATGGATGGACAAACGGAGACAGACAGACAGATGACCACTGTCTTTATGCCTAGGATGTGGTTTAGAGCTACTGATTGAAAGGTCTGCTAGCACTTTTTGACATCTTACCTGAGTTTGACGAGGATACGCTGTCATCACAGGTGTCACAAATGATCAGACCGACGATACAAAGTATAAATCCAATCACAGACACCACTGTTGCAATGATTGTTGCCGTAAAGCACCATGTTACACTGTACTCTGAAATTTCCAAACAAAAAATATTCAAACGGATTGTCGGTTTAAAAATGAAAATATTACTAAATTTGTACAAAAAGGACTTTTAGAAATATGCTTGTGCTAAAGGCAAGTAATTATATAAGGATATATTGAGGTTAAAGGTATTTAAAGTAAGGATATCTGAGGGTAAATGTATCATAAAGTAGGGACATCTGGAGGTTAAATGTATTATAAAATAAGGATATCTGGAGCGTAAAGGTATTATAAAGTAGGGACATCTGGAGGTTAAAAGTATTATAAAATAATGATATCTGGAGCGTAAAAGTATTATAAAGTAGGGACATCTGGAGGTTAAAAGTATTATAAAATAAGGATATCTGGAGCATAAAAGTATTATAAAGTAGGGACATCTGGAGGTTAAAAGTATTATAAAATAAGGATATCTGGAGCGTAAAAGGTATTATAATACAGGGATATCTGGAGGGTAAATGTGTTATAAGGTAGGGATATCTGGAGGGTAAAGGTATTATAAAGAAGGGATATCTGGAGGTTAAATGTATTATAAAATAAAGATATCTGGAGGTTAAATGTATCATAAAGTAAGGATATCTGGAGGTGAGATGTATTATAAAATAATGATATCTGGAGCGTAAAGATATTATAAAGTAGGGACATCTTGAGGTTAAAAGTATTATAAAATAAGGATATCTTGAGCGTAAAAGTATGATGAAGTAGGGACATCTGGAGGTTAAAAGTATTATAAAATAAGGATATCTGGAGCGTAAAGTTATTATAAAGCAGGGATATCTGGAGGTTAAAGGTATTATAAAGTAGGGATATCTGGAGGGTAAAGGTATTATTAAATAAGGACATCTGGAGGGTAAAGGTATTATAAAATAAAGATATCTGGAGCGTAAAGGTATTATAAAGCAGGGATATCTGGAGGTTAAATGTATTATAAAAGTAGGGATATCTGGAGGGTAAAGATATTATAAAGCAGGGACATCTGGAGGTTTTAAGTATTAAAAAATAAGGATATCTGGAGCGTAAAAGTATTATAAAGTAAGGACATCTGGAGGTTAAATGTATTATAAAATAAGGATATCTGGAGCGTAAAAGTATTATAAAGTAGGGACATCTGGAGGTTAAAAGTATTATAAAATAAAGATATCTTGAGGTTAAATGTATTATACAATAAAGATATCTGGAGCGTAAAGGTATTATAAAGCAGGGACATCTGGAGGTTAAAAGTATTATAAAATAAAGATATCTTGAGGTTAAATGTATTATAAAATAAAGATATCTGGAGGTTAAATGTATTATAAAATAAAGATATCTTGATGTTAAATGTATTATAAAATAAAGATATCTGGAGCGTAAAGGTATTATAAAGCAGGGATATCTGGAGGTTAAATGTATTATAAAATAAAGATATCTGGAGGTTAAATGTATTATAAAATAAGGATATCTGGAGCGTAAAGGTATTATAAAGCAGGGACATCTGGAGGTTTTAAGTATTATAAAATAAGGATATCTGGAGCGTAAAAGTATTATAAAGTAAGGACATCTGGAGGTTAAATATATTATAAAATAAGGATATCTGGAGCGTAAAAGTATTATAAAGTAGGGACATCTGGAGGTTAAAAGTATTATAAAAAAGGATATCTGGAGGGAAAAATATTATAAAGTAGGGATATCTGGAGGGTAAATGTATTATAAAGTAGGGATATCTGGAGTAAAGGTATAATAAAGTAGAGATACCTGGAGGGTAAATGTATTATAGAGTAGGGATATCTGGAGGGTAAATGTATTATAAAGTAGAGATATATGGAGGTTAAGTGTATTATAAAGCAAGTGGTCCAGAGGGCCTGTATCGCTCACCTGGATATCTCAATAATCATGGCAAAATATTCTCCAAATGAGATCCAAGGGAAATCCAAGGCAAATCCTTGTAGCATATCTGTATTAGATTTTTCATGCCCAGCAATTTTATGTATGGTTATGGGTTGGACATCTCAACTGTTTCTAAGCTGTGACTCAGAAACTAGGTCCCTTAAGGGTTGTGGCCAGACCCCAGGATCAATGGGGATCTCAACCGTTTTAAAGTGATGACCCAGGGACTATGTCTCCAAGGGTGGACCCATAACCTAGGACCATCCTGGAAGCAAATGTGCATTCTTCTGTCTATACTCAGCAATTGTATATATGGTTATACGGTTTCCAAGTAATGAACTTTTTTTGGCCCCACCCCTTAGCCGGGGGGTCAGCCCCACCATTTGTTCACTTTTGAATCCCTGTCTCCCATGAATGCTTTTGATCAAATAAAATTGAAATCCAGTGGATAGTTCTACAGAAGAAGTCGTTTATAGCAATAAAGCCAAATTGCCCCCTTTTGGCCCCGCCCCTCAGCCCCCTGGGGGGTCAGCCCAAACATTTGTACAATTTTGAAACACCACCACCTAGGGATGCTTCCAGTCACGTATGGATGATATCCATCACTTAGTTCCAGAGAAGAAGTCGCTTAAAGCAATATAGCCAAATAACCCAATTTGATGGCCCCGCCCCTCAACCTCCTGGGGGGTCAGCCCCACCATGTGTACAATTTTGAATTCCTGCCGCCCATGAATGCTTCTGATCAAATATGGTTGATATCCAGTGCATAGTTCTACAGAAGAAGTTGTTTGTAGCAATATAGCCAAATTGCCCCTATTTGGCCCCGCCACCAGCCCATGGGGGGGTCAGCCCAACCATTTGTACACTTTTGAATCCCCACCACCTAGGGATGCTACCAGTCAAATATGGTTGATATCCATCACTTAGTTCCAGAGAAGAAGTCGCTTAAAGCAATATAGCTAAATTGCCCCCTTTTGGCCCTGCCCCTTAGCTCCTGCGGTGGTCAGCCTAACTAATTGTACAATTTTGAATCACCACCACCTAGGGATGCTTCCAGTAAAGTCGTTTCAAGAAAGTGTTGACGTACGGCTGGATGACGGACGCCACAGTATGGCATAAGCTCACCTTGGTCCTTTAATTTGGATCAGGTGAGCTAATAAGGATATCTGGAGGCTAAATGTATTATAAAGTAGTGATATCTGGAGGGCATTATTAGTATCACAAAGTATTATAAGTCTTGTACCCATTTTAAACCAGAATTTATCTTTGGACTTGTATAGGGTTTTGTTGTTGTTGTTGTTTCCTCATTGTTCCAATTTGTTTAAAGTACAACACCCCTTGAGTAAGCTAAAGGCAATCTAACAGCCGTCGTTCTCTCTCAAGTCTTTTAAAATTCTGACATATTTGACTCTTTTGACATTGAAAGTGAAAATTTATTTGAACAAGCTTGAACAAATATCATAATTCACGGCCTTATGGTTGTTAAGAAGCAAATCATGACAGCCGAGCTAAAAACTTAGTTGCTTTGAGTCCAGGGTAGTTCTGGTAATGGGAAAATGTATACTTACCAAATCCTCCCTTTTTCCCACCAATTTCTGAAAAGAGAGAAAAAAAAGCATAAAGTATCCATCTGATAGTATGGTTTAACATGTCATTCTAATTTATTTGTTTGGTCAATCAAAATACTTTGTGACAGTATGGCGATTGTTAATGACATCAATAAGCCCGACTGACCCTGACACGTCATGAAATTGATAAATCATGACGTCATAAACAATAGCGTGACCCCGAACGATTGACGTAATTCTGCGCCACTTTGACATCCTGGCATCACAAATCCATGGCAGAGTGAACCAGAACTTTGAAGAAAACACTAAAAAATATCTTAACAAGAGGCCCAGAGGGCCTGCATCGCTCACTTGAATGTTTAAGTAGTCATAGCAAAGTATTCCCATTCAATTTTATACTGTACTATAAATATTTCACTTTCAAACTGTGTCGGCTCCATCTGTTGAAACTACCAGCCAAATATCATTATATGATTCTATCCTTTTTGGTTCTTCTTCAGAAGTTGTTTGAAGAGTTCGACATATTTTCCCCTGTGACCTTGTAAGTAGGTCAAGGTCATTTTCCTTCTCTAACTTTGTTGGCTTTATCTCAAGAAGCTACCTGCCAAATCTTATGAATTCATTACTTTTGGTTCTTCAAAACAAACGGTTTGAAATGTTAACCTCTGTGACCTTTAATGTAGGTTGAGGTCATTTTCATTTGCACATTTTGGTGAGCTCTATCCCAAGAAGCCACCAGCCAAATATTATGATTCTAAGCTTTCGATTATTCAGAGGTCGTTTGAAGAGTTTGAGGTATTTGACCCGTGACCCTGAAAGTAGGTCAGATCATTTCATTCAAAACCTATGTTGTACTCAATCTGAAAAAGTTACCAGCCAAATATAATGATTATAAACCTTTCAGTTCTTTAGGAGAAGTCATTTGAAGTGTTTGACAAATTTGACCCCCAATACCTTGAATGTAGGTCAAGGTCATTTTCATTCTCAAACTGTGCCTGGCTCTTTCCCATGAAGCCACCAGCCATATATGAAGATTCATTACCTTTCAGTTCTTCAGAAGAAGTTGTTTGAAGTGTTTGAAATATTTGACCCCTGTGACCTTGAAAGTAGGTCAAGGTCATTTTCATTCTTAAACTTTGTCGGGCTCTATCCTATGAAGCCACCAGCCAAATATGAAGATTCTTTACCTTTCAATTCATCAGAAATAGTTTGAAGTGTTTGACACATTTGACCCATGTGACCTTGAAAGTAGTTCAAGGTCGTTTGCTTTCTCAAACCAACGAAGGTTTCAGCCAAGTATCATGACTCTAGGCTTGTACCTTCTTCAGAAGAAGTTGTGTAAAGGAAAAGTTGACGGACGACAGACGCCACATCATGAGTTTACTTGCCATTCGGGCAGGTGAGCTAAAAATGTTGTTTCTTTTTGTGGATTTGGCTTCATGAATTAGTAGAATTAGGATTATGAACACTACTGTATTTTGAAATATGTGTCGCTGTATTGAGATGGATGATGCAATTATAATTCAAGTTTCATCACAGTATCTTTTACGATTTAAAAACTACGGCCCGGAAAGATCATATTAGAAGAACCAGAAGCGGTACCAATACAATATGTCTCCCATCGTTCAATGGGGAGACATAATAATGATGTCAACAACAAAAGGCTCACAATATTCATAGCCAATATGAATGCCATCCAAATGTGGTAGAGTTATATAGAGGCAATGCCATACCATTTTTAATATAAGAGGCCCAATGGACCTGAATCGCTCACCTGGTATTAATTTCACATTTGTAATCTTAAAAGTGGACTAAAATACAACTACAGGCAGAATATCAGTGTTTGATTCATATGAACCTATTAAAAGATTTAAACATATGACGCCTGTGACCTTGCATAACAAACAAGCTAGAAATAAGGTCGAACAGAGTTTATAGTCTTCCAACCATGCATGCTTCTAGCAAAATATCATTACCCTGGAACGTTTGGTTATAAAGAACAAATTATTTTAAAGATTTAAACATATATTGACCACTGTGACCTTGAATATGGGCGAAGGTCATTCATTTGAACAACCTGGTAGCCATTCATCCCAGCATGTTAATGGTCAAATATCATCACCCTTGGCCTTTTGATTATTAAGAAGAAGTCATTGAAAGGTTTTAAACATTTTCGACCCCTGTGACCTTGAATATATGTCAATGTCATTCATTTGAGCAAACTTGGTCGCCCTTAATCCCAGCATGTTACTGGCCAAATTAAAGCACCCTAGGACTCTCGGTCATTCATAAGAAGTTGTTTAAATGTTTTAAACATATTTGCCCCCTGTGACCTTGAATATAAATCAACTCCATTTATTTGTACAAACTTGGTAGCCTTTCATCTCAGCATGTTACTGGCCAAATATCATCACCCTAGGCCTCTTGGTTATTCAGAAGAAGTTGTTTAAAGGTTTTAAACATATTTGACCCCTGTGACCTTGAATATAAGTCAAGGTCATTCATTTGAACAAACTTGGTAGCCCTTCATTTCAGCATGTTACTGGCCAACTATTATCACCCTAGGCCTCTTGGACGGGTATCAGCCTAGAGGGTAAAGGTATTATAAAGTGAGGATATCTGGAGGTTAAATGTATTATAAAGTAGGGATATCTGGAGGTTAAATGTATTATAAAGTGAGGATATCTGGAGGTTAAATGTATTATAAAATAAAGATATCTGGAGGTTAAATGTATAATAAAGTAGGGATATCTGGAGGGTAAATGTATTATAAAGTAAGGATATTTGCAGGGTAAATGTATTATAAAGTAGTGATATCTGGAGGGTAAATGTATTATAAAGTAGGGATATATGGAGGGTAAATGTATTATTTAGTAGGGATATCTGGAGGGTAAATGTATTATATAGTAGGGATATCTGGAGGTTAAATGTATTATAAAATAAAGATATCTGGAGGTTAAATGTATGATAAAATAAAGATATCTGGAGGTTAAATGTATTATAAAATAAGGATATCTGGAGCGTAAAGGTATTATAAAGTAGGGACATCTGGAGGTTATAAGTATTATAAAATAAGGATATCTGGAGCGTAAAAGTATTATTAAGTAAGGACATCTGGAGGTTAAATGTATTATAAAATAAGGATATCTGGAGCGTAAAAGAATTATTAAGTAAGGACATCTGGAGGTTAAATGTATTATAAAATAAGGATATCTGGAGCGTAAAGGTATTATAAAGTAGGGACATCTGGAGGTTATAAGTATTATAAAATAAGGATATCTGGAGCGTAAAAGAATTATTAAGTAAGGACATCTGGAGGTTAAATGTATTATAAAATAAGGATATCTGGAGCATAAAAGTATTATAAAGTAGGGACATCTGGAGGTTAAAAGTATTATAAAAAATGATATCTGGAGGGTAAAAGTATTATAAAGTAGGGATATCTGGAGGGTAAATGTATTATAAAGTAGAGATATATGGAGGTTAAGTGTATTATAAAACAAGTGGCCCAGAGGGCCTGTATCGCTCACCTAGATATCTCAGTAATCATGGCAAAATATTCTCCAAATGAGATCCAAGGGAATATGCCAGACCCCAAGGCAAATCCTTGTAGCATATCTGTATTAGATTGTTCATGCCCAGCAATTTTATGTATGGTTATGGGTTGGACATCTCAACTGTTTCTAAGCTGTGACTCAGAAATTAGGTCCCTAGGGTTGTGGCCAGACCCCAGGATCAATTCTTATATCATGACTGCATTCGTCTCTTTTTGCCCAGCATGTGTAGTTATAGTTTTGGGGTGGGGATCTCAACTGTTTCAAAGTTATGACCAAGGGCCAGGGGTTAAGTCTGCAAGGGTTGGGCAGACCCTGAGGTCAATTCTAATATCATGACTGCATTCGTCTATTTATGCCCAACAATTGTATATATAGTTTAGGGGTGGGGATCTTAACCATTATGACCCAGAGGTTAAGTCTCCAAGGGTTGGGCAAACCCCAAGGCAATAATGGAAGCATATGCTCATTCATCTCTTTATACTCGGCAATTGTATATATGGTTATAGGGTGGGGATCTCAACTGTTTCCAAGCTGTGCCTAAGAAAGTCCCTAGGGGTTTGGTCAGACCCCAGGGTCTATTATAATATCAGGACTGCATTCCTCTCTTTATGCCCAGCATTTGTATACATAGTTTTGGGGTAGGGATCTCAACCGTTTTAAAGTGATGACCCAGGGACAATGTCTCCAAGGGTAAAGCCAGAACCTAGGACCATCCTGGAAGCAAATGTGCATTCTTCTGTCTATACTCAACAATTGTATATATGGTTATACGGTTTCCAAGTAATGAACTTTTCTTGGCCCCACCCCTTAGCCGGGGGGTCAGCCCCACCATTTGTTCACTTTTGAATCCCTGTCTCCCATGAATGCTTTTGATCAAATAAAATTGAAATCCAGTTGATAGTTCTACAGAAGAAGTCGTTTATAGCAATAGAGCCAAATTGCCCCCTTTTAGCCCCGCCCCTCAGCCCCCCGGGGGAGTCAGCCCAAATATTTGTACAATTTTGAATCACCACCACCTAGGGATGCTTCCAGTCAAGTATGGTTGACATCCAGTGCATAGTTCTAAAGAAGAAAACGCTTAAAGCAATATAGCCAAATTACCCTTTTTGATTGCCCCGCCCCTCAACCTCCTGGGGGGTCAGCCCCACCATTTGTACAATTTTGAATTCATGCCGCCCATGAATGCTTTTGATCAAATATGGTTGATATCCATTGCATAGTTCTACAGAAGAAGTTGTTTGTAGCAATATAGCCAAATTGCCCCTATTTTGCCCCGCCCCAAACTCATGGGGGGGTCAGCCCAACCATTTGTACACTCTTGAATCCCCACCACCTAGGGATGCTACCAGTCAAATATGGTTGATATCCGTCACTTAGTTCCAGAGAAGAAGTCGCTTAAAGCAATATAGCTAAATTGCCCACTTTTGGCCCTGCTCCTCAGCTCCTGCGGGGGTCAGCCCAACTATTTGTA